GCCCAGCTAATTTTTTGTATTTTTAGTAGAGACGGGGTTTCACCATGTTGACCAGGATGGTCTCGATCTCTTGACCTCGTGATCCACCCGCCTTGGCCTCCCAAAGTGCTGGGATTGATTACAGGCTTGAGCCACTGCGCCCGGCCAACCATCAACCATTTTAAAACGTACAACTGGCTGGCGCGGTGGCACACGCCTGTAATCCCAGCACTCTGAGAGGCTGAGGTGGGCGGTTCGCAAGGTCAAGAGATCAAGACCATCCTGGCCAACATGGCAAACAACTGTCTCTACTAAAAATGCAAAAATTAGCTCGGCATGGTGGTACGCACCTGTAGTCCCAGCTACTAGCTACTCGGGAGGCTGAGGCAGGAGAATCGCTTGAACCCGGGAGGCGGGGTTGCAGTGAGCCGAGATGGCACCATTGCACTCCACCTGACGAAGCGAGACTGCGTCTCAAAATAAGTGAATACAATGCACAACTGAAGGCATTTTAGTAAAAATAGCGTTATGCAACCATCACCTCTATGTACTTAAAAGACCACAAAAAATTCTTACTGAAAGCATTTTTCAGTCTCACAGTAATTTTCTTTGAGATGGAGTTTCGCTCTTGTTGCCCATGCTGGAGTGCAATGGTGCCGCACTGGCTCACCGCAACCTCCACCTCCTGAGTTCAAGCAATTCTCCTGCCTCGGCCTCCAGAGGACCTGGGATTACAGGCATGTGCCACCACGCCCGGCTAATTTTGTATTTTGCTTCTCCATGTTGGTCAGGCTGGTGTCCAACTCCCGACCTTTGGCGATCTGCCCGCCTCGGCCTCTCAAAGTGCTGGGATCACAGGCGTGAGTCACAGTGCCCGGCCCTCAGATTAATCTCTCTTAAATTTTAATCTTGTTCATGACTCAGGTAGTTAAAAAGAAAATTGTTGTTGCCCACCACCTATAAGCCTAAACGCCTGATATTCAAGAACTTATTTCTAAATTATTGGTGATTCTCTACATGAGCACTCTAGGTTGGTTATGTATAATTCTTTGTTTGCAATAAATACAGGAAAAATTAAATTCAAATTATGAAATCGATGTGCCCTCTTTGACTCAGGCATCATTTCAATTCTTGCAAACTTTACACATTTCTTCTGGCAGGAAATTGTAGAAAACAGATCCTATTTATGGGAAAATGAATATCGCTGACACCCTTGCCCTTTCAGTAGTCCCACGGCGACAAGTAAGGCGGCAAGAATAAGGGGTGGGGTGTGGGAATGAAGCCTTCACAGTGTGTGGTCCCGTCCTCTCGCCACCGAAATGAGAAATGACACCTCTCCAGGCTTCACAGTCTGGACCTTTCTAATTTCATTTGCCTTGGTAGGTGGAACACAAATCCTACAAACCTTAGACTCTTTATTCGAGAAAACCACTAACTACGGACCCTCTGCACCAGGGTTTCTCAAAAGTCGGGGTCACGGACCACCTGCTACCGAATCACACAGTGGTGGGTGAAAATGCGGAAGGCCCGAGCTCCACCCTAGAATCTGAGTCGGAATACCTAGCTCGGTCTTTAGCGCGCAATTTTGAGAGCCGTGGAGCCCCGCCCTCCGCCGAGGTGGGCGTGGCGTAGCAGAGACCCGCGCTCAGGCCGCCGGCGCCGGCTGGAACCGGAGGCACGCAACGCGGCGGCAGCTAATCGCCAAGTCTCGTGTGCGTCCCGCAACGCGGGAACTACGCGAACCCTCCCCGCTCCTCCCCTCCCGCAGCGTCCTGGGCGCATGCGCTTCGCGCCTTCCCCCGCCCCCGCACCCCTAGCTGCCCTGGTTACCGTTGGTGTTTGCTAATTCTCTGCAGCGCCTTCTTCGCCCAACTCCAGCGGCAGTTCAACACTCGCGCGGCCGCGTCACGTGCGCCGAGATTCCCTCGCGGCTGCTGGCCGGCGGCTCTGCCGGGAGGAAGGAGCTGTGGCCGCCGCTCGCCCTACCTCTGCGCCCCGGGGCGGGCGCGCTGGTAAAAATGGCGAAATGGGGGTAGTCGACGCGGGACCTGGAGCGATGGGGCGCGCAGGTGGGGCGGTTGTCGGAGCCCCCTGACGTGGGCGCCGCGCTTTTCTCGGTGATTTGATCTGGCGACCTCGGGCCGGCGCCTAAGAGGTCAGACTACGGAGTCCGCGGGTTGCCGACGGCCCCGCAGAGAGCCGGAGGCAATGGATGAACAGAGCGTGGAGGTGAGGGGTTGTGAGGGTGGTGGTTAGTCCCCACCCCCACCCGTTGAGCGGTTTGTATTCGGGGAGGGGTGCCTGTCCTCGCTCCAGTAGGGCACCCCTACCCCGCCCCTGCGACTGTGGAGAGGGCTGGCCCAGTACCAAGGACGCCGTGCTCATTCTGCAGCCCTCCAGGTGTCCTGTGCTCACTGTTCCGCAGTCAGGTGGTGCATATTCTGGCGTTTTCAAGGATGTTTTGGCACAGGTACTTATCCCCACCGGGCATTTGCAAACTACAGCCTGTTTAGAGCAAAACTGCAGATTCATCAGATGGACGTACCCCGCTCATCACCAGTCCTTGCGAGTTGTTGATCTGCTTTAAATCTCTTTCAAATGGATAATCTTTCCCTCTCAGTGGTACATTTTGCATACTTCTGCCCTTCGTAGATTGAATCAGCACATAATACTTTCTCATGTGTAGTTTCCAGAACAAACTCTTTATAACTGATTCTTGTAAGCTGTGAGTTAAAATAGTTGGGATATACAAGGGTAGGAATATATTTTAAAAGATTGTTTATTGGACATAATTGTATAGTCATTGTCAAAGTTTGAACCTTTCAGATACTGAAATAGGAGATACTTGCTTTTTAGTAAGGAGTAACTGTGTTATGGATAGTCCACTTGAAACTAATCATTCAGTAGTCTTATCCACCCGGTTGCAGATTACAGAGTCTACATCTCCCAGGTGCTTTCTGGCCCTGCAGAGTCAAGATTAGCTTCATTAGCCAGGTGCGGTGGCTCACGCTGATATTCCAGCACTTTGGGAGGCTGAGGCGGGCGGATCACGAGGTCAAGAAATCGAGACCTTCCTGGCCAACAATGGTGAAACCCCATCTACTAAAAATACAAAAATTAGCCGGATGTGGTGGCATGCGCCTGTAGTCCCAGATACTCGGGAGGCTGAGGCAGGAGAATCGCTTCAGCCCAGGAGGTGGAGGTTGCAGTGAGCTGAGTTCGCGCCACTGTTCTCTAGCCTGGCGACAGGGTGACGCTCCGTCTCAAAAAAAAAAAAAATTAGGTTCATGAGTAATTTTCTCCCTAATTCCTCTTTTAAAGTATTATAAAGCTTTTGTAAACTTATCTTGGTTTCAGGAGTTCACAATAACAATACATTTAATTACATCTTTTTTCTTGTTAAAAACTTTTCAGTTACTTCCCAAATTGATTAAACTGAGGCTTACAAGGATAATACTGTTTCTTCTACTTACATATTTTTGTTGTTGTTTTCAAGATCTCATTGAACTACCATCAATTGGGTCGGTATCTCAGGTTCAAATAAGTAGTTGTAACATCAGGGCAGAAATTCAGATTTCTGGATTCTGAATTCATTTTTCTCTGGGTCACATTACACTGCCATTAGGATAAGTGTCTTTTTTTGTTGTTGTGTTTTTTGTGTTGTTTGTTTTTAACACACTTTTGCCCAGAGGATGTCTTTTTAAACTTCTTTTCCCTCTAAATTTTAAAATCAGTTTATACCTTTTGGAGAAATTGCAGATAAAAGTTCATGTTGGACACAGGGAGGAGAACACACACACTGGGGTCTGTTGGGTGGGGGCTGGGGAGGGATGGTGGCGGAGGTTAGGGAGGGATAACATTGGGAGAAATGCCTGATGTAGGTGATTGGTGGGGGGAATGGAGGCAGCAAACCACCATGGCGTGTGTGTACTTATGCAACAATCCTGCAAGTTCTGCACATGTACCCAAGAACTTAAAGTATAATTAAAAAAAAAAAAGTTCATGTTGTGTATTCAGTCATATAGTCTGCCCTTCCCCGCCCCCCGGACAGTCTTGCTCTGTCACCCAGGTTGGAGTGCAGGGGCACGATTTTGGCTCACTGCCACCTCTGCCTCCTGGGTTCACATGATTCTCTTCCCTTAGCCTTCTGAGTAACTCAAATTAGTTAATTTTTGTATTTTTAGTAAAGACAGGGTTTCACCGTGTTGGCCAGGCTGTTCTCAAACTCCTGACCTCAAGTGGTCCAGCCACTTCAGCCTCCCAAAGTGCTGGGATTACAGGTGTGAGCCACCACACTTGGCGCTTTTTTCTTGCTGTTATACGTCATATGCATTTTTTCGTGTCATTAAACGAAGAACTATCTAGTGACTAATCTATATGTAATTTACTTAATATTTGGGCTGTATCTAGATTCTTGCCATTATAATTACTGCTTGATTAAAAGTTTTTGTGCATAAGTCTGTGTTTGCATTTCATATATTTTCCTTAGAGTAGAATCATCACGAAGCTTAAAAAAACGAGAGTATATTTTCCAGATATTTTGAGGTACTTGGACCTTGACCAATCAAATCCTGATATGTAATATAATTAAAATTGAGATATTATCAACCCAAAATAAATGTAAATGCCAAGTGAATTGTTTTTAGCTTGCCTTTTGCACTTGATTCAGTAGCCTAATCTGGTGGACCTTGCATCTTTTATTGTTTTCAGAGCATTGCTGAGGTTTTCCGATGTTTCATTTGTATGGAGAAATTGCGGGATGCACGCCTGTGTCCTCATTGCTCCAAGCTGTGTTGTTTCAGCTGTATTAGGGTAAGTTGTGTTTCTTTTTACATGTAGTTAGTATTTATAGTATATATTGTAAGGATTAACCATTTCCTTTATCTTTTTATTTTACATTTTTTGCCTTAAAGTGCTTACTTGCATTGTGCCTGGGATTGAGGAACACTAAGATAAATGACAAATTGCCTGCCTTGAAGGAGCTTAAATCTAATAGGGAATGGAGTTTAGAATGTTTATATTGAAGAATGTGTGGTATCATAAAGAGGCACTAAAAAAGTGCTGTGGGACTCAGAAGAGGACTAGTTTTATGTGTTTGGTGAGTAAGATGGAGAAAAAGTGGATAATCCTATAGTTAGAAGACACCGTAGAGATGAATATAATCTAGTGGCTTTAAAACTTGAATGTTGGCTGGCGAGGTGGCTCACACCTGTAATCCCAGCACTTTGGGAGGCCGAAGTGGGTGGATCATGAGGTCAGAAGTTCGAGACCAGCCTGACCAACATGCTAAAAATACAAAATTTAGCCCGGTGTGGTGGCGTGCGCTTGTAATGCCAGCTACTCAGGAGGCTGAGGCAGGAAAATCACTTGAACCCAGAAGGCAGAGGTTACGGTGAGCTGAGGTCGTGCCACTGTACTCCAGCCTGGGCAACAGAGGAGACTCTGTCTGAAAAAACAACAAAAAAACTTGAATGTAGGTGAACTCAAATCATTATGAGGAGGTCCAAGATTTTGGTTGTACGTGGCAGAGTCCAGTACCACATCTACAGAGCACAGTTGAAAACTGCCCTGTTCACATTTCTCTTCAATTATTTCTTTCTTTTCCTGAGAAAATCAACGAGGTCACATGCTTTTCACCTCAAACTTTCTGTGTTGGCTGGGCATGGTGGTTCACGCCTATGATCCCAACACTTTGGGAGGCTGAGGTGGGTGGATCACCTGAGGTCAGGAGTTTGAGACCAGCCTGACATATATGGTGAAGCCCTGTCTCTACTAAAAATACAAAAATTAGCCGGGCTTGGTGGCATGCACCTGTAGTCCCAGCTACTCCGGAGGCTGAGACAGAAGAATTGCTTGTACCTGGTAGGCAGAGGTTGCAGTCAGCCGAGATCAGGCCACTGCACTCCTGCCTGACAACAGCAATTCGCCATGTTGGCCAGGATGGTCTCGATGTTTTAACCTCATGATCTGTCCACCTTGGCCTCCGAAAGTGCTGGGATTACAGGCCTCAGCCACTGCTCCTGGCTGATTACTGTATCTTTATAGTAAGTTTTGAAATTAAAAAGTGTGAGTCCTTCAACTTGTTTTTCCTTCTCAAGATACTTTTGGCTATTTGGCATCCCTTGAGATTCCATATGAATTTTCAATGTATTTTCTACCAAATAAAAAGTACCATTGGAGTTTTAGTAGGGATTATATAGATTCTGTACATGCCTTTGAGTAGTATTATTGTCTTAACAATATTAAGTCTTATGATCCATGAACACAGGTGTCTTTCCATTTATTTAGGACTTCTTTAACTTCTTTCAGCAGTATATTGTAATTTTTCATGTGTAAGTCTTTTTTATTTTTTTGAGAAAGGATCTCACTGTCACCCAGGCTGGTGTGCAGTGATGCAGTCATTTCTCACTGCAGCCTCTGCCTTTTGGGTTCAAGCATGCCCCTGCCTTGGCCGCCCAATGCTGGGATTATAGGCGGGAGCCACCATACTGAGCCTCCATGTATGTCTTTCAACTTCTTGGTTTGTTGCTGTTGCAAATGTGTTACTTTCTTCATTTTCTTTTTTGATTGTCCATTGCAAGCTTATAGAAATGCCAGCGTTTTTTGTATGTTTATTTCCTATCCTGTAACTGCCGCATCTATTAGCTTCAACAATATTTCGTGGAATCTTCAGGGGTTTTTACAGATATGATCATATCATCTGCAAAAAGATAATTTCACTTCTTTTTTACTTAGAATACTTTGTATTTCTTTATCTTGCCTAAGTACTCTTGCTGGAATTTTTAGTACCTGCATTATGTTGAATAGAAATGGTAAAAGCTGGCATCTTTTTCTTT